TGCACACATGAGCTAAAATACATAATAATATTTATATTCTACGTTGTCTGTCGTGAGACGGTTTTACTTTTTAACTACAAAAACGAAGCAAAGAGAAAAAAAAAAAAACAAAAAAGAACAATAATACCGACGGCAATAGGCAACATGTTTGATCTACTTGGCAGAGCGTTTTGTATTTCATATTGTGCGTGTATGTGCGCGTTCGTGTTTTCTGTTTATGTATATTTGAAATATATTTTCTTTTACATTTTTTATTTAAAATATGCGGAGAAATGTTGAAATATTGTTGTTTTGTTAACAAATTTTCTTAAATGTTTATGTGTATATGAGCCTGTGTATAATAGCTTGTCTGTACTAATATCGCCCGATGCAAATTTTGCTTAATGTTCCTAAATGTATATTTTAGGTCGTTGTCTATGCCTCGACAATTTCTTTTCTAATTTTTTTGTTTTATTTCATGTTGCTATCTATCCATCTTTTTTATGTAAAAATAATGTTTCGTTTAAATTATATTTTCTTTTTCATTTTCTTAATATTACATTAACTGAAGTCTGTGTGATCAGAGACGCATATATCAAAATAGGCCTGTGAGTGAGTATGTGAGAATGTAAGTGTGTAAATATGCCTTGCATTACTACACAAAACGAAAAAGAGATAACTTAGTGTGAAGACTAAATATAATTATAACTGTTATTACGTTGGCAATATATCTCCTCTGCATAAGAAACTTTTATAGATATTACTCCGTTTGTTAGATCCGTGCTGGACTTAGCTCGGAAAATACCATTCGTTGATATGATCACACAAGTAGACTTATACTTGCATCGATGACGAGACGCTACGTGACGTTAGCTTTAAAATAATAACAGGAATTCTGATAATTAATAAGTGGAACTTTTGTTGCTAACTTCTTAAATAAGTTTCGAACATATCCCTTTCAAATATTTATATATGCAATGCATTATTTTGAGTTTTACCTGAACGAACATTTTTTTCACAATCAATATGATAGTGTTTTGCCCTCATGGGTAAGTTCTTGTCGTAGTCTGCTTGGCATAGAACACACCAAATTTGTCAAAGTTATCGTAACAATCTTTTCTCATGCCAGTAACCGTATGTTGAATCAAATTCAAAAAAATCTTTCGTAAACCGTGCGATACGGATGGGAGCGTTGGAGTGTCTAATTATCATCATATGGCTCACCAGCTTAATCTATTACGTTGTTCCCTAGCACGTCAACAAATGTCTCCGCGATCATTTTACCGTACATAAAGTGTTTTTAATTTTCCTGTTACCCCAGATGCAGCCCAAACCATAAAATGGCCACCGCCATCGTTGCGCATCTAACGCATTGGTCGATGATATCGTACATCCCTCCAATATTTATGGTGACCATCAGGCCTATCAGAGTTAAATGTTTTCCAAATAATTTCCATAATTTGTATTTGTCGGGAAATGCAATACGATCATTTCATACGACTCTGGGATAAGCGTGTTTTAACAATTTCGTGTTTATATCTGAGACCTATGCCGCCCTTAGGAATTTTCTGCACACTGTGTCTTACAACATTTAGGCCCAAATGTACCTTTATTTGCCTGCAACACATTAACAACAACATAACTGCAATAATGATCGTGCATTTTCCACATTGGAAAATTGTGTTTGGCATATGAACTAATGCAAGTAATGCGAAATATTTTTTTGTAGGAATTTTACTCCTGCAGTGTAATGAAAGCTGTGCGTTCAATTACGTATAAAGATGTACAATGAAACCATATTTTAACATTTGAGTGGTTAAATTCCTATTTTAAAATGTTTTGATGGTTAACACGGTCAAAACTGTCGAAAGAAAGCATAAAAATTTGAGATTACGCTTGCTCTTGCTTGCTCGTACTTCAGTGTTTATAATTAATAGAAGATATTTTTTAATAATTTTTTTTACGCGTACGCCACATTACAGATCAAAACGTCGTATGAATTAATAAAAAAGGAATAAATTATATTCAGATAGAAAATGCGAGGCGGATGCAGAAAAAATAGCCCCATTTGCTTATTTTTGTTAAATATTTCCCCGCGAGGATCGGCGAAGAGTAGTCCTTCTGGCACACCGAATAAATACGACAAATTTGGATAAGACCATTTGGGACCTTTTTTAGACAGCCATTTATCTGAACGTTCTTACAAAGCAACAAATTTTCATTTCGAATATTTTATTATGAAGAACAGTTCAGAATAGTAATCACATGTATAAATTTACTGTCTTAAATTTCATTACTATTGGTCCATTTCCCTCAGGTAAAGATTCCAATGTAAAATAAGTTTTCACATGACAACAAGTTCTAAGCTTTAATAATTGACGATGGAAATGGCATTGTTCATTAGATACATAGATAGAGAGGCTTTCATTTGTTTTTCAATATCATACCGATTTAATTAAGACAGTTCGTTTTCTTTTTTTACTCTACGTAATGTATACAGGGATCCTCTGCTACGTTTACGCATAGACTTATTAATTTTAACTATAACGTAGCGTTATTCCGCCTTGTAACCTTATTAGAATTCATTGTCGGCGTTGCATTGACTGTGAATCTCATAAATCCTTCAGCTTTTTAATGATGCTTATAATATACTTCCGGATAACGGATTAATTTAATGAGATTGCAAACGGTCTATTAGGTAATATTTAGCATATCGTTCACCGGGCTTCTGCACATTTGCGAAAGGGTGGAATATCTCTTGTCTCTTGTCTAATTCTATCCAAAAACTTGTTCGTGGAAATATTTATCTTTATTCCCCTGTTTTCGATATTATTTAATAAGCTGCTAATTTTTTGCTCAATTTTTTGTTTTAAAAACCATGTATTTGTTGCAATTTAAATTAATTTTTATTAAAATCTCCAATCACATCTTCGCCTAATGATATCTCTTTTTTATCGCACAATTTGTCTAGTATATAAGTGAACAAATAAATAAAAAATGTTATTCTTGTGTGATTAATATAACATATTAATCTTGATATTTCATTTGTAACATCAATTGCTTATTCGGTGCTTATGTTGTTGATCAATATAACACTATATGCCGGCAGTTAATACTATCCATCCGTCTCAATGGACCAGTAGGAATCCATAACATTGAGACGGGGAAATGAAATCTGGTACAAACCTTTTCGACTGATATTAATCAAATCAAGGTCAGGGAGGGCGAAATGCATACATAAATATGAGAGAAAAGTGAAAGAAAACAAATTCGAGGTTCATATTTTCATCAGTCAATAATTCTATATTTCTTTCGTGTACTTTTTAAGGACATGAAAAAATGTAAAAGAGGAAAATAATGCCAATCCGCTCGTAGAACGCAGCGACTGTTAAAAAATGTTCAAATGAAACGAGGAATTTTTTTTTTTTTTTTAATGGGTGCTGCAAATATGTCTTTCGGTTCTCAGTTTATACAGTGACGTGTTTTTGTCATCAAACAAACAAAATAAACAACATTATTTTATGCAGAATTCGTATTACATTATGTTTAAAAACGGTTAATTAAATGCTTGTGAAAATAAATTGGGAACGTTAATAAATTGCCAAGATGATGAAACTGGCGCACAGTCAAAAAGTTAAAAGTCAAAAATGACGGGAAAGCGAAACCCGCCAAGAAAATCCATTTAACTCAACGATATCCTAATCTCAGCAGTTGTCGCTTAAATATTAAAGACCTTTGAAGATACAATTCGAAAACAATTTGAAATGATTCAATGAAATTTAAAAAACGATTAGCACTTTTTTCTCGCCTTCTCTCACCTTTTTCGGTGTCGTTTCAAAATCACTCCTTTTTTTTCAAACTAAGGCTCTGTTCAAATGCTGTCTTTCTTGCATGAATTGTTATGATCTCTATACACAATTACTAGTGACGAAGTCTGAGTCTAAGCCTACGGTCCAGAAATGGCTTAAAACCGGAAAAATTATATCGAACCAAGTCAAAATTCAAAGCCGTGTCAACTGGTGTTTTCGATTATCGTGATGTTGATAAATTGAGTTGAGGAGTTTATGGCGAAATAATTCGTAGTATTTGCGTCACACACACCGGGGTTACCGTGCTGTGGCTCAGCGTGGCTATTTTTTCACATCGTTTTGTATTAGGAAAAATCACTCGTCAGCTGCCTCGAAGGCTACAAAAGAAACGCGTTTGGTATAAATATTTTATAGGAGATTGCTTTGATGGCGATGAAATAAATTTGAGGGAAGAAATAAATATATCACGCTTCATATCAAATTTTTTCTACTTTTTAAACCTAGTGTTCGAGAAGACCTATGGTAACGGATATGCACGGTTTGCCATAAAACGAATAGAATATTTTTATTAGTAATTTTATTATAAAAATATAAGTAAGTGATATCACATGATCCGCTGCCAACCGCTAATATATTGTATGTTTGCTTATAAATATGTATGAATTTTGTTTAGTTTATTAATTTTTTTGCTTTATGTAATATTTATATTTGAACACGTTTTATCAGACATTCGCACACTTTTAAATTAAACAACAAACAAAGGTGTGTTAATGTTAAGCACAGCGCACAACTCATTTTAAATAAACATAATTCAAACCGAAATTAACTGCCAACGCATAGGAACAATGAAAATGTGTTTATTCTCTTCTCCTAACAAGCGATACTCGCACAAATACTGAGAGTACATTTATATATGGATGCATGTGACTGTGTCTGTATTATTTTTCTAGCAAATAAACCATAAAAAAAAAAAGAAAAGAAAAACGCTGTTTATAAACGAATGCATATGCATGTGCGACGTAAATCTAAATTTATATATCCATACAGTGAGATTCAGAGTCTCCATTCTGATGTTATTTTTTGCTGTGACCAGGTTTTTATTTTATTTTTTTTTTGGCAATTTTTATAAACAAATATTGTAATTAAAATGGCTTTGATCAGAGGAAATCGATTGAAATTCTCAATACTAATAACAATCTGTATTAGTAGTAGTAGTAGATGCAGTTTGATGTTATATAATGAGCGCAATGCACAATTGAATAAAGCGTAAACGGTTTCGTTAAAAAGGTACAAAAAACAGAGAAGTTTATATAAAAGATCATCAACGCTTTTTTAAGTTCTACTTTAAAAAAATTTCCGTATAACGGTAATATGCAATACCAACCAGGCTCATGGTATCTGCCATGGGGTGTGCCATTGCAAAAAATGTTAACCATGTCGTTTCCACAAGCGGGAACTCCAAACGTGAATCCTTACGCACCGCCAAATAGTCCGGCTATCACTTGCCAGGTCCTCTCAAACCAACACCAAAATTCCGCAAATGTGCAAAACGCCACAATACAAATGCAGTCAGCAGCGGCGCATAGCTACCAGCATACCACCGTTGGGGCACCATTTCCCTGCGCCAACACGGGTGTTGCTTTACATCATAACGGACAGCCACAAAGCGCAGGTACATCGCTAACGGCCACTTTGTTAAACAGTCATGCACATAGTATACCGCATGGATTGCAAAATTCGCATCAGTTATCGAATACTCATCCACAGCATCCACATCCAAATGCCTTAATATCATCTTCGGCAGCTGCAGCGGCTGCCATGTTTACACCGCTATCTTTGCGCACTTATCTGGCTTCTACGGCTGCTGTTGCCAATCCCCTAACCGCTATAACTACCGCACCGGCCGGTGGCTTACCTGGCACATGCACGCAATTGTTACCACCGCCGTCGCATCAGCAGCCAAATCAACCAAACACACCGAGCCCCCAATTAACTTGTGTGCCGTCATCTACATCTCCACAAAACTCAACAACACCGTCTGCAATTAATTTGAATGTTGACGTTGTGGCAATGCGTCATCATGTTAACAATCTGAATGTCACAAATGGTATTTCAATACCTTCAATGTCAGTAAAGAAGGTAAGTAAGTGAATGTATGCTTGCATCTATCTTTCAAAGCACCTCAAAAATGTTTTAAACAATAACAGAGAACTTACGAGTTTTCAAATCTCCATTTCTCGGCATAGGCACATGTTCGTCCGTCCATACAAACATGTACAGGCGGGCTTACGTCTACATTTATTTTATCTGCAATCAAAAGTTTACTTCATTTGTTTCAGATGTTTGTGTGATGTTCTGAATCTGAATCCTATTAACGTAAAAACGTTTAAAAATGCGTTCTTTCTTGATTAGTTCACTCAAATCAGAAAAATTATTCTAAAATATTTCCTATTTGGCAGCATAATTGTGTGTTAGATACGGAAACAAGTCCATATCGGTTTTCTGTGAAAGCCGAAGCGCTTTTCTCAAGTAGCAAATAATTTAATTAAAGTCCTCAGCTGAGCACACACTTTTCCTATTAATTTTGAAAATATGAACACCTTATCGTAAGAAAAAGCGGACAACGCATAAAAGGGCCAATAGTGTCGTAAAAATTGAACTTCTACTGGAACGGACTCTAAGTCACCGATTAGAACGATTGTTTCAGAACCGGTAACCTTTCATTTCAATTCAGTGCTGTCAATATCCGAACGTCATTGCAGTGAAGAATCATGACATTATGACTTTTAGCTTCGCTTGTATGAAAGTCACTACGCCCATTTCTCGACAAAATGAATAAGCAGCTATCTATAGACCATGTCAGCTTATTTGAGGTCTTCTACATTAATTCTCCATATAATTTGCGCTATAAGTTGCCACGCCAAGCACTAATCATGGGTTCTATGCACAATTGCCCAAGAATTTTAAATGAATTTGCATCAAAAATCGATCTTGTTTGCCATTTAAAACTCCCGTGAATGTGTAAAAACAGTTGACTAACCAGAGCTAACATTACGGTTGATCCCTGCAGTAGTCGAAACACCGTCGAAGGCGACCATGCCACTGATCGAACCGACATTAACAATGGTTGGCATCAAAATAATCTTCATATTCTTCACTCTTGCTTCCGATCCCTACTTTCATTTGCGGTATCCTCGCCTTACACAGCCCAAATCTAAAGGATGGAAAAATAATGTCTTGTGATAAAGTTACCATCAGATGATACTTTATACTGCTGGAGAAAATCAAATATAATTCTTATTTTTTAATTAAATCACTTATATTCTTGATTTAAATTAAAGTTTTAGTGTCCTATAGTCGCCTTAAGATAATGTTCGGCACTCTCGTTTGACAACTAAAATCTTCTAGCGACTGAAATATCGCCTCATATGAAACTCTACTGTTAAAGATATATGGATTTAGAAAGGTGGATTCTCATGGTCCTTAATTTTTATACCCGGCCCCGAGCGGTGCTGGTATATTCAGTTTGTTAAAACGTTTGCAACACCCAGAAGAAAGCCTCGCAGACCCAACAAACCATATATATTTTTAATCGGCATCGAAAGCTGATTGGATTTTATTTTATTCTATTTCAGTGTAAAAGATTGGGCAATAGCTGAATATAACTTTTTTACTTATTGTTTCTTTATTTTTTATTATATCGTCATTGCGATACCACATTGCAACGATTAAAAGTTACTGCGAAAATGGTCATTTGCTATAAAATAGACATCATCGTTACGATTGGTAAGACCCCAGATCGAGTACACGAAAATGCATGCGGGTGGAATTGAAAGTATAAATAAGCTTTAGTTCCACTAAGATAGTATGCACAACACATCGATGATGGGACAATAGTCTTAATTTTTTGTCATAAATAAATGACGCTAGATATTACGTATTTACTTTTAATAGAAATATTAAAAATTCGTGGGAAAAACAAGAAATATTCCATCATATATTAATGTAAGAACCAGAATTTTGGTTTGCCGGGTGTACGCTTATCGTTATAGTCTACCTGAGTGATGTGTTCTTTTACGCTTTACAAATTGAAGCTTTTGCCTTAAGGGCGTAGGCCAGGGGTAGCCTTTTGAGCCGGAAGACTTAAAAATTACAATTTACAAAATTTCAAAGTTCTTAAAGAGTCACAAAATGTTCTCTTGCCAACAATAAATAGTACTCTCATATATATTAGTTTGGGGAAAAAGAAATCCATTATTTTAACATGCTTCGAATTGTCCGATTTGGGTCAAATATGCACCGTTTTGTTGTACGATTTGTTACCATTTTAAAGGTAACTTCAAAATGCCTCTCTCATAGAAGTTCTGGTCTCTATTTGCAAAAAACTCTAGTAGTCGATTTTCACAATCCTCCCTAGATTCCAATTTTTTATCATTAAAGAAATTTTGCAATGCAAGAAAAAGATGATAATCGTTTGATACCAAGTCCGGACTGTATGGCGGATGCATTAAAACTTCCCAACCAAGCTCCCGAAGTTTCTGGCGAGTCACTGTAGATGTGTGTGCCCTAGCGTTGTCCTGGTAGAACACGACACCTCTCCTGTTGGCCAATTCTGGCCGTTTCTGGTCAATCGCTATCTTCAAACGGTCCAGTTGTTGACAGTAGAGATCAGAATTTAGCGTTTGGCCATATGGAAGCAACTCATAATAAATAATCCCCTTCCAGTCCCACCAAATGCATAGCAAAACCTTCCTAGCCGTTTGAGGTGCTTCACCGCTCTTTGACCACGATCGTTTTCGCACAGGGTTATCGTATGTGATCCATTTCTCATCTCCAGTCACCATCCGTTTAAGAAATGGGTCTATCTCATTCCGTTTGGCCAAGGCTTCGCAGATGGAAATTCGATCCATCATGTTTTTTTCTGTTAGTTGGTGTGGCACCCAAACATCGAGCTTCTTTTTGAATCCAGCTTTGTGTAAATGGTTTAAAACTGTTTTATCGTCGATTTTTAGCTCCTGGGCGATGTTACGACTGCTAACATGCCGGTCAACTTCGATCATTTCTCCGATTTTATCGACATTTTCGACGACCGGCCTACCTGTGCGAGGTGCATCTTTAACATCAAAAATTCCTGAACGAAATCTACGAAACCAAAATTGCACATATTTGGCTGTTACAGTATCGGAACCATAAACACCATTCACAATTTTAGCCGCCTGGCTTGCATTTTCGCCTTTGTCAAAGAAAAACTGTAAAATGTACCGAATTTTCTCTTTGTTCACTTCCATTTTTAACACGCTGTAACTCACAACTGAATGCACCAAACAAAAAACAGCAAAAGTATTTTTTTTACTGCGAAATGTCTGCTTTCCAACGAGCATAAATCTGAAATTGTTTGATCGATACTTTACGAGAAATCTATCAGTTGCAGCCATCTACCGAAAAAATAATGGATTTCTTTTTCCGCAAACTAATATGAAGTTTTTTGATAAAAAGACACTAATCCATTTATTCATAAGAAAAAATATCTATTTATGCATAAGAACAAATGTCTATTTATTCATATGTAAGTAGGATTTTTCACAACAAATTAGATGATATATATATGGCGTTGCTAGATAATTACTTGTTATTTAAGTAAAAACAAACAAAAGCAAACAAATTCAATGGGAACGATGGCTATGCATGGTTTTCGAAAGTTTGGATAAATTTGGCTTATAACTCGCTGGTTTAAGTTTCAAACACGACTATAAATTTTCATTTGTTAGTTGGCTTCTTAACTTACTTTTAATTATATTCATGTAAGAGAACGCATGTTCGCACGAATATGTCGATCCGAAGGTAGTCAGCACTCCAAATGCCAACTTCTTCACCTCATTATAGCAATCTATAGAAGAGTATTTCATGCGTCGAATATAAGTGCCCCACCTCGAGGCGTTTCTTCTAAAGCTGTTCACTCTTGTTGCGTTACGTAAATACATTTCTAGACCTTCAATTCTTCCATCTTACTTTTCAACTCTATAAATTTTCCACTCCACAAGGCTTAAATTTTAAAATCGATCAATTGCATTTCTAGAGATCCGGTGTCACAATTCCAAATGGCTCAACATGGATCTCGTTACTATTTGTGTTGAGAGGATTCACTGTGAATGCTAGAGTGGTTTTGTTGCTTTTGAATGGCTGAAATCTGTCACCAAATTCATTTTTAATTTTTTTTATAACTGTGCCGAAGTAATTCGTGTCAACAGTTGCACTGGTTTTATAGCGGTATTGCTTTAGAAATTGAAAATGAAGTAATTTATCGCTCTGAATATCTTCTGTAAAAAGATTTTAATTTTTCTTCAAAACAAATCAATTCTTCTACCAAAAAATAGGCAGGGCTTCCCTTTCCTTGCATTTTTACATTCAGCTCATTTAAAATCGCTGCGATATCCACCATAAGGTAAAATTGTTGCAAGCATTTCTCGTTCTCTAATTCAATGTGATTAATGCCTTTTTCATTTACGAATGCGTTTATTTCAACAGCACAAAGCAAAACGTTTGGAAAGGAGTCGCACTTTATTTTAAGGGAAGAAGGTCGGAATACTGAGTCTGCTGTTAACAATCTTGATTAACAAATTCATGACCTCAACTATTTCGGCGTACAAAGCGCTTCTTGGTTTATTATGCAGTAAAACGTAAGAAGCTTCTTGGTGGATTATGCAGTGAAACGTAAGAATTTCGTGGCTTATTTTGCCCTGAAGAGTCGTTGTTGCCGCTTTATTTTTCCCTCTCGTATTTCTGCCTCCATCAGTTGCTATTGAAACGATTTTATTTAAATTGATCGTATTGTGCTTCAAGGCATTTTTGCACTGCATTCGGTATATCTTCCGCTCTAGCTTGTCCCGAGAGCGGTAGCAATCCTAGAAGTTCTTCTTTGGAACCTTGGGAAGATATATACCTGACAAACAGGGCAATTTGTTCCGTGTCCTTTATGTCTCATCTCATCAGCAAGTGATCATCTTATCTATAGCAAGTGATAAGGCAGAAGCAAGTTGAATATCCAAATAAAAATATGTTACACTTGAAAACTTTTTAGCTAATCTATCTTGTACTGTTGTGGCATACAGTGGAAAATCGCTGATTTTTTTCAAGATTAT